CACACATATATACATATATATTACATTTTTAATAAATTAACAAAGTAGTTATTGAATCAATTGTAATGAGTCGACATACATTTTTAATAAATTATCAAAGTAGTTATTGAATCAATTGTAATGAGTCGACAGTGGGACTTAAAATTTTCAACATAAGAATGAGCGGTCTGATGGTAAAATTAAAATTTTTTATTTTATGTTTCTATCACTAATAATTAATCATCTAAAGATAATTGAAAAAAAAAAAATTATATAAATGAAATTAATCAATATAGTTAAAAATTTATCTTATTTTTTACTGATTGCATTTTTTATACGTGTTTTGTCCTCTATCATTCATTTTAATTAAAAGCTTAAACTTGAAAATATTATTTTAAAATATAGTGAGTTATAATAGGAAGTGAATACTTACAGTTCTAATCTACAGTAATATATTGAATAAGAAGTGAATATGTATGTTAGTTGGTTTAAGATAAATAACAATTCAATAATCAAATATGATGATTCAATTTTTTTATAATATTCAAGTAAATTGTTTAATTTTCTTTTTTTTTTTTGTTATTTTGTTTTTCATTCATCACAAAAATATCATCTAAGTTGTACCAATTAAGGTGCTTTGATATTGATAAATTTTTTCAATATACATGTATGAGTTTTTTTGCATCGCAATTAGGATTATAACATGGTGAATTCCATCACTATTAACATGTACATATATATAATATACACAATTATAAATTTTGTATTATCCTTCTTATTCAATATCAATATATGTAATAAATATATGTAATTATAATGAGGTGTATTTAATATATCTTATGATATAGCCAATACATCTAATACTTCAGTTAAATCATAAATAAATGTCTAATATTAATTTAACCGATTATCAAATGCATTTTTTTTAGAATAAATGTAATATTATTATAGATTAGAAGTAAGAATACTCGTATTTTCCTCATATAATTTAATTTTTTAATCTTCTTATTTTGAAGGTAAAGAGAAACTATTAAAATGATTGAAAAATCAAATTATCTAAAAATCATGAGTAGTTTTACTTTTAATCTTTAATAATTTTTTTGTTTCTCTAAATCATATGCATTTGATTATTTAAATTAAATTAAATTACATATTTAATTTTGATTTAGTTTAATTATCAGATGAATTAATTATATCATATTGCATCTTAAAAATCTTTCATTTTACATATATAATATATTATCTTAACATTAGATGACGTAGAAGTATAAAATTTATGAACTCTATATATTGTTTTTTTATGTGCATGTTAAATATGATATAATTCATCTCTTATAATACTGGTTGTGTAGCTAAGATACTCGCAAACATTAAAAAAATTATTGATATCAATGTCTTTAATTGGTGGAACTTGGACGTTACCCGCGACAGATGCATAAATAAAATATTATAAATAAGATAATGATAGAAAACAATATTGAAACTTATTGAATTTTCACAATTGTTTAGTAAATTGTTATTTCACAGATTGATTTATTTTAAATTGACTAACGTACTTATTACTTTTACATTTTGTTATTGTAGTTTAGAAGTATGAATATTTACTCTTGATAAGAGCTCGTGGCTATTGTTAATCAATATATCCAGGTTTAAGTTTTTAATTAGAAAATAACTAATAGAGGAGAAGGTGTATATAAAAGTCGAGACTAATAACCAATAAAATAAATTTATAATTTTAATAATTTAATTTTTTTCTATAACATTTTTTTTATCTAATTTTGGATGATTAAATATTAGCTATAACAATAAAAATTAACAAATATAGTTTTAATATTTCGACCATTTGCTGTCGGTTTGAAAATTTTATGCTCGTAGGTCAGATTATGACACCAATGATTATATGTTTAATTTTATAAAGCTATTTATTAAAAAGTCCTATTTAATTTATTAATAGGATTTTATAAATTCTATAAAATTGCATTTAGCATTTTTAAATCTTGAATGGTAATTTGTATTGTACTGTATTGAACACTGTCATTGCCGGTTCCAAGTCCGGATGTGAAAAGTGAAAGGTTGTGCTAGGTAGTCGACAACCAGCGTAAAACTTGTCGAAAAAAATCATGACATGAATTCTTTTGATCATTATGTAAGTGTTAGGGCGTCCCCTTGAAGGGACGCGTTGTATAGCCTGAATATAATGAAAAATGTGCAAGGGCAGCTACATCGGTGTCCGTGTGTAGTATCAAATAAGCAAGGGTTCCCACATTACGGACAAATGCGGGTAAAGAAGTTAGTCCATGAAACTAATATTAAGATAGAATCTTGTACATGAAACTAATATTAAGATAGAATCTTGGAATATTGGTACTCTCAATGACAAATTAATGGAATTATTGATATTATGATTCATAGAAAAATTAATATCATATGTATTCAAGAAACTAAATGGGTTGGTTGGAGAAAAGGCTAAGGACATTGATAATTTATGTTTTAAACTTTGGTATTCTGGTAAGAGTCGCATTAGAAATGGTGTAGGTGTAATTATTGATAAGAGTTTGAATGATAAGAGTTTAATTATTGATAAGAGTTTGAAAGATAATGTTGTAAAAATTAATAGAGTTGGTCAAAGGATTATAACCCGTCATAGGATTATAACCCTTAAAATTATCATTGATACTAAATTTTTTTATATTATAAGTGCTTATGCTCCTCAAGTAGATTTAGAAACAGGGTCTAAAGATTAATTTTGGAATGACTTAGAAAACTTAATACAAATGATATCTTTTGAAGAAATATTTTTTATTGGAAGAGATTTAAATTGACATGTCGGTAAAGTGGTAGAAGACTTCAGATATGCTCATGGTGGCTACAGTTTTGGAGTAACTAATGATGAAAGTAGAGCTATTTTAGATTTTGCTTTAGCGTATGATTTTGTTATTACTAATTTTTTATTCAAGAAAAGAGATGAGCATCTTATTATTTATGAGAGTTGATCTAATAAAACACAAATTGATTATTTTCATATAAAAAGAAGATATCGTCGAGATTGTAAAGATTGTAAGGTCATTCCAAGTGAAAATTTTACCCATCATCGTTTATTAGTTCTAGATTTTAAGATGAAGAATTGTAAAATAACGAATACTAGGTCTTATCATCGTAAAATTTTATCCATGTGAATTTCGAGCATTTTCCTATTTTTGTAGGATTACATCAGGGATCGGCTTTAAGGCCATATCTTTTTGCTTTAGTTATGGATGGTCTTACTAGTCATCTACAGGAGGATGTACCTTGGTGTATGCTTTTTGCTGATGATATCCTTCTTGTGGATAAAACGAGAGAAAAAGCCCAGGAAAAACTTGAATTATGGAGGTCTACATTGGAGTCTTGGGTCCGTTGTTCAAAGCGATGGTGATATAGATGGGGATGTTAATAGTAGAATTCAAGTTGGTTGGTTGAAGTGGAGGAATGCTTCGGGCCTTTTGTGTGATAGAAAAGTACTGCTTAGACTGAAAGGAAAATTTTATAAGATGGTGGTGAGACCTGCAATGCTCTATGGCGTTGAATGTTGGCCTTTAAAAGAGAAGCATAATAATAAGTTAAGTGTTGCCGAGATGAGAATGATTAGGTGGATGAGTGGCTTTACACTTAGAGACAAAATGCGGAATGAATATATTCGTGATAGGGTTGGTGTAGCTCCTGTGACAGACAAAATTAGAGAAAGTCGTCTTAGATGGTTTGGTCATATTAAACGTCGACCATTAGATGATCCGATTAGGAGAGTAGATGTTTTAAATTCGACTTGTGTTAAGAAAGGCAGAGGTAGACCTAGGAAGACTTGGGCTTATTGTATTAAAAATGATCTTAATTTACTAGAACTAAATGAAAATATGACACTAAATAGGACGCAATGGAGAAAAAGGATTCATGTAGCCGACCCCACGTTGTGGGATTAAGGCTTTGTTGTTGTTGTACTAGTAAATTGTTTGCCTATTATTTTTAAGATTGAGACTGTAAATTGTTTAGTAATTAATCATAATTGGTAATTAGGACATCATTTAAAGCAATTGGTATGCAATTATCTACAATTAAACAACCTATTATGATTTAATTTGCTCCAGATGTTATTATTTATTGCTTAATTGAAGGAATTAGATCAATGGTATTCAAATAACTAATTAGTTAATTTAGTTTCTTTTGGAGCATTAGAATGCTTTGCATTTAAGAAAATGAAACCTTGGGTGGATTCAATTATCTGCTAGAGAATGAAATAATTTGATTAGATAGCTAGCAAAGGTCACAAACTTTTCTTAATATGAGCCACTTTGACAAGGTGGAGAAGGCATGGTGTAAGGTTGTAGTAGATCTAATAATGTTAATTATATAGTCCAAAAATTAATCACTATTGTTTTTTGTTATATTATCAAAGCGATTCTTATCTAACATGTAAAATGCAACTAGTGTTCCAGTCTTTTGAACATATATGATGATGAGTGAAAGTACTCTTTGCATTACATTTATGGTGAATTGATTTATTCTTAGGATAATTTAAATATCAATTTATGCTTATGTTTGCTTGTTAGAACCTGCTTAAATTTTTTAGTTGAAATAACAAGCATTGATCTATATTAGCAAGAGAAACTCCAATAGTTATATGTTTTTACAATTAATTAGAAGTTTTATCCTGAATTAGAGTAGGCTTTATCATAATGAAAAAAAAAATATTTGTATTAAATTTTAAAATTTGTTCATATAAGGTCTTTTTGGGGCTGCTGCATTTGTTTGAAGAAACTATTATGAAGCTGCTGAAAAAGTTCAAAAAGCTACAATGACTATTACAATTTATTTTGTAAAGGTCAGACCACAACTTTCTAGTGGCCACCTCATGTAGCGTGTTTTGGTGGAAAAACACAACTTTTAACTATAGCTTCTTGAGAATGCGAACAAAATGTAATTTTGCCAAACATGAAAAAATGCGATGTGACAGCACACTGCCACCGTACCACTGCCCCAAACACACCCTAATCAATACAAAATTTTTTATCTGTTATGCTATTGTGGAATGACACTGCTTGATGTATAAATGTTTGGCTTGCATATTTTTTGTATACAAAAGATGAAAATGTCCACTTTGCTTCTTATTTCTCATAATGTTCCTCATGCTGTGTTGATTACTCTCAAGTTCAGTTGTTAATCAAGTTAATAACATGAGGAATCTAATGAAGGAAATATTAGAGTGGAAATTGACCACTTTTAGATGGGTGTGATCTAAGATGGCGTAACCTAAAGCTGGAATTTGGTAGATGGCTTGTATGAGCAAATTTTCCAAATTTATCTAAGATGGCGTAACCTAAGATGGCGATGTTTGGCTGCAACTTCGATTGACATTAAATAGGATTTATCACATCAGATAAATCCAAATTTATCAAATCAACACTGTGACAAATTTGCTCGTGAATGATGGCGGAATAAATTCATCTCGCAGTCGGATTTATTAAATTCAGATTTATCAAATCCATACTGTGATGGAACACACAGAGGAAGACAGAAGGAGAGAAAATTGGATTTAACGGTGGTTTGGATTTAATTTTTGTTTTTTGGTGTTTGGTTGGAGAAGACGGAAGGAGAGAAAATTGGATTTAATTTTTGTTTTTTGGTGTTTGGTTGGATTTAACTTAAATCTATGGCTAAATCCAATATATAGGATGCTACTAAACACCGCCCATGAATTGTTCCATTATAAACATATTGCAATTGCTGGCACATTCGTATGTATGAAAACTTAGATTAGATGAAAACAACTCATTGTGTTCTTAATATTTAAGGCTGTTAGAGTGGGACTATGTAAAGAAACTTATGAGTTTAAATCTCAATCTCTCAAACTCATTATTGGTGTATTATGCTTTTGTTATTGTCATAAAAAATGATCTTTAAACAAGCTAGGTTCTTATAAAAATATTTACAAAGTTTAGCCTGTTAGATATTTTTTTTTACACAAGAATTGGGTGGTATTTATGTAAATGCCTTAAAGAAGATCTATGATGCTGCGATATTTTTCTAGTTTAACCTATTCATTTTTCTCCAAAACACTAAAACCTAATTCTCAAGGCGTTCATAGCAGTGTCTAACAAAGATTTACCTACTCACGTTTGTTTAGGTGGCTTGCTTGAGTCTAAATAATCAAAACACGTGCAAATAATGAGAAGATTTTTAGCTTGGGAACAACAATCTTATGATCTCCACATTATGAGATATTTTTATAGATATATCTTAGTTTGTTTTCCTTAACATGTTAATTTCATTCTTTGCGTCTGATTGTAATATCAAAATTTGAAAATATTGCAATTGATAAGATCCTCAGGTTCATGGTAACATAAAATCCATTTTGAAATACATATCTTATTGTGTTCTATATCTCACATTTTTACCATAACTATAAATAACGAAGTGAAAAAAAAACTTTATATTTGAAGATTTTGTTGCAAATATGAAGATAAACCTCACTACTTGGCTTAATCTAAATGTGTTTGCTTGAGTTAACAATGGCATTTTATAAAGTTGTAAAGTGTGTTTTCACGTGAAATTTTATAAATAAGGTTACATATGATGTAATACCACTTATGATATAGGGCTGCTATATCTTTTTGAAGGCAACAAATATAATTAGCCTAACAATTATATTTATTTGTTATTATTATATTTAAAAGAATTGAAGAGTTCTAAGCCAATTCGTTGATGGTTGACCATATTAAAGAAGAGTACAATCAAACAAAAAGTGAATGACAATAGGTGAATGACTAATTATATATATAAATTGGATTAAACAAAAAAAGTTAAAAAAATAAAGAATAAATAAAGTAAAATTTACCTTTGAAGGAGAGGAAAGGATATTGGGTAGTTAAAGTAAAGAATTTGATCAAATGTATGAGGCACATTTAGATGTATCAGAGTTTTAATAAGAATTCTATAGTTTAGTGTGCTCATCACGATGCATTCATTAGTAATAAAAATTATGAGGTTTAGCTTTGTGTGGGATAGATTGAGATAAAAAGGACAATACCATACATGTTTTGGGATGTCAGTATACATTTTTATATCATGATAGTAGGACCCTTAAGATAACTGCCTGCTCAAGCAATGGAGGTAGCTAGCTGTTTGGGATCGCTTTTATCTTTTATTTGTGTTTTGTTATGAATTAAGACATGTTCAGTTGAGTTGATGTTTTGAAAAATAAGTTGATTTGTTTCTAAAAACAAAAGCTAAAAGCATATGAAAATTATACCAACAAACTTGTTTTAAAAAATAGAGGAAAAAACAAAATGGGGCTTAAGAGTGTGATCAGTAGTTTGGGTATTAACTATTTATTTGCTTAAGTGGATGATTTATTTGATTGGTTAGGTTGATATACTGCTTCACCTGCAACAGCTTTCTCACAACAGGTTTTACTACAGCAACTTTTTGAAACAACTATAACTGCTCCGGAAGACCTTGAAAGGTTTATGCTTATGCTTTGGCTGATTTATTGTTTCCCTTTTTTGCTAGATTCGATGAGCATACATTCAGTCTCAACAACTTATCTACCAATGGGGATAATGGGATAAAAAACCCATAAAATGAAGGGGCATTTATATACATACCACCCAGTTACTATGTATTTAAATGTTGAACACCTAAATTTTACATTTTTTCTTTAATGCAATCCAAATCTTTCATATCACATAAAAATGCAAGTATTTTGACTTTTAAATAGTGAAACACATCTTTTCATGCATAGGAAGTTGAAATATATGTAAACATTGAAGTTTAGGTGTTAGATATGTAAATACATTGAATTCAGAGGCATGTAAGTAAATTCTCCTGAAGTGAAATAATGTGTCTTGACTACTAGAGAGATGAGCCTCTAGGGGATTGCCACAAGGAGAATAATCTGATAATATATATTTTGCATTTAACCTATTCCAAGAATTTGATAAAAACTCCCAATATGGAATGTAGCAATTGATTTCCTCTTGTTACATATGTATGAGGTGAAGCCTATTTTGTAGGCCACTAATATTTTATTGAACCAATGAATGACAAAAGTTGAGGGTGCATTATACAACATTCTTTTTGAATTTTGTTTTTTTTTTGTTTTTTTTTTGTTTTTGCATGATTATATATTTAATTTTATTGATGTAATATGGCTATTGAAATGATGTAATAGAATATTATATATCCATGCAATATGTGTCTATGCAAGCTAGCTATTTCTAGTCTACCCAAGCAAGCCAATGCCTTGCTTCCACCCTATTTGCCTATAACACAACTAAGCCGAACCTCGTCGGAATAACCCGTTACACACATTTATAGGTAATATGTGATATTATTAATATAAATATTATACATAAATGCTTATTATGGGATGCCTTATATAAGAGATGCCCTTGTTAAATGATGAATGTTTACATATAGAAATGAAATCAAATCTAGAAGTTATGATATATAATGGGTTAACTCTAAGACGATCCGAAAATTGAATGAGTCAGAGTGTACAACCTATATTGACCTAAAAGTTAATCGGGTCAACCTAAATTCGATTTTTTATGGAGTCAAGTTTAAGTTGGGTTGTGATGTCTTGTCATGTAGTGGCACTTCCACTTTACCAAATGCCACTTGAAAAGGCTACTTTGCTATCTCCATACAACAACAACAAAGCCTTAATCCCACTAGGTGGGGTTGGCTAACTTTGCTATCTCCATACCATAAAAAAAAAAAAAAAAGGGCAATTACATAGATGGTGGCACGTGCGGTAATTAAAAAAAAATAACTTCTCCAATTCTTCTTCTTCAAAACCCACTGCCTCTGTTTAACTCAATACTGCTTTTCCTTATATTGAAGCAGAACTGTAGAAGGAATGAGTCAAATCAGACTAGGAATAAGCATGAGAAAGACATGAGAAGATTGACCCCGTTGACTCTTCGTTACTATATTATTTATGGTAGTAGTTATTGGTGTGTAAATGTGTTGCATTTTCATTCGTATATTTATTACCTGTGATTTACATACATACCACTCAATTCTCATCTATTTACTTATCTAAACTTCCAATTTTTACTACATGCAACCTTACCCATGCATGAAAATGGTGTTATATTTGTAAATACATAAGAAATGGGTTGTATGCATGTAAATACCCCGTTTCTTTATCTTACGAGCGTCTTCATGTTCATGAAACTTACTTTGTTAGTACATATTATTGAACTTTTATTTCAAGATTTACATGATATTATACGAATTTTTATGGAGCTTACCATATAATTTATTACTATCTGTATTTTATTTATTTATTTATATGTCTAACGTCTAATGTTTATTATTTAATGTTAACTATATAATGTTTAACATCACATAGAAAATATCACTGATATTAATGCTTTTAAATTAAAATACGCATTTTCAGGGATATGTTTTTATTTG